AAGGTCATAAATCATAGCAGAGTCCACTGAAATAATTTTTTGGGGGTTAGGCCCATTCTGGAATTGTAGGGGTTCAAAGTTGTTGTTAAAAAAAAATACGTGTCCACCCCACACTCTTTCGGTAAGCCTCGCCAGCTTCTTACGGTAAAGTTCTTTACCGGACATGGCTCAAATGAAAGGTAATAAATCAGAGCAGAGTCCACTGAAATAATTTTTTTGGGGTTAGGCCCATTCGGGAATTGTAGGGGTTCAAAGTTGTTGTTAAAAAAAAATACGTGTCCACCCCACTCTTTCGGTAAGCCTCGCCAGCTTCTTACGGTAAAGTTCTTTACCGGGAATAGCTCAAATGAAAGGTAATAAATCAGAGCAGAGCCCACTGAAATAATTTTCTGGGGGTTAGGCCCATTCGGGAATTGTAGGGGTTCAAAGTTGTTGTTAAAACCAAAATACGTGTCCAACCCACACTCTTTCGGTAAGCCTCGCCAGCTTCTTACGGTAAAGTTCTTTACCGGACATGGCTCAAATGAATGGTAATAAATCAGAGCAGAGTCCACTGAAATAATTTTTTGGGGGTTAGGCCCATTCGGGAATTGTAGGGGTTCAAAGATGTTGTTAACAAAAAATACGTGTCCACCCCACACTCTTTCGGTAAGCCTTTGCCAGCTTCTAACGGTAAAGTTTTTTACCGGACATGGCTCACATGAAAGGTCATAAATCATAGCAGAGTCGACTGAAATAATTTTTTGGGGGTTAGGCCCATTCGGGAATTGTAGGGGTTCAAAGTTGTTGTTAAAAAAAAATACGTGTCCACCCCACACTCTTTCGGTAAGCCTCGCCAGTTTCTTACGGTAAAGTTCTTTACCGGACATGGCTCAAATGAAAGGTAATAAATCAGAGCAGAGTCCACTGAAATTATTTTTTTGGGGTTAGGCCCATTCGGGAATTGTAGGGGTTCAAAGTTGTTGTTAAAAAAAACCACATGTCCACCCTACACTCTTTCGGTAAGCCTCGCCAGCTTCTTATGGTAAATTTTTTTTACCGGACATGGCTCAAATGAAAGGTAATAAATCAGAGTAGAGCCCACTGAAATAATTTTTTGGGGGTTAGGCCCATTCGGAAATTGTAAGGGTTCAAAGTTGTTGTTATAAAAAAAATACGTGTCCACCCCACACTCTTTCGGTAAGCCTCGCCAGCTTCGTACGGCAAAGTTCTTTACCGGTCATTGCTCAAATGAAAGGTAATAAATCAGAGCAGAGCCCACTGAAATAATTTTTTGGGGGTTAGGCCCATTCGGGAATTGTAGGGGTTCAAAGTTGTTGTTAAAAAAAAATACGTGTCCACCCCACACTCTTTCGGTAAGCCTCGCCAGCTTCTTACGGTAAAGTTTTTTACCGGACATGGCTCAAATGAAAGGTAATAAATCAGAGCAGAGCCCACTGAAGTAATTTTTTGGGGGTTAGGCCCATTCGGGAATTGTAGGGGTTCAAAGTTGTTGTTAAAAAAAAATACGTGTCCACCCCACACTCTTTCGGTAAGCCTCGCCAGTTTCTTACGGTAAAGTTTTTACCGGACATGGCTCAAATGAAAGGTAATAAATCAGAGCAGAGTCCACTGAAATAATTTTTTGGAGCTTAGGCCCATTCGGGAATTGTAGGGGTTCAAAGTTGTTGTTAAAAAAAATACGTGTCCACCCCACACTCTTTCGGTAAGCCTCGCCAGTTTCTTACGGTAAAGTTTTTACCGGACATGGCTCAAATGAAAGGTAATAAATCAAAGCAGAGTCCACTGAAATAATTTTTTGGGGGTTAGGCCCATTCGGGAATTGTAGGGGTTCAAAGTTGTTGTTAATAAAAAAATACGTGTCCACCCCACTCTTTTGGTAAGCCTCTCCAGCTTCTTACGGTAAAGTTCTTTACCGGGAATAGCTCAAATGAAAGGTAATAAATCAGAGCAGAGCCCACTGAAATAATTTTTTGGGGGTTAGGCCCATTCGGGAATTGTAGGGGTTCAAAGTTGTTGTTAAAACCAAAATACGTGTCCACCCCACACTCTTTCGGTAAGCCTCGCCAGCTTCTTACGGTAAAGTTCTTTACCGGACATGGCTCAAATGAAAGGTAATAAATCAGAGCAGAGTCCACTGAAATATTTTTTTGGGGGTTAGGCCCATTCGGGAATTGTAGGGGTTCAAAGTTGTTGTTAACAAAAAATACGTGTCCACCCCACACTCTTTCGGTAAGCCTTTGCCAGCTTCTTACGGTAAAGTTTTTTAACGGACATGGCTCACATGAAAGGTCATAAATCATAGCAGAGTCCACTGAAATAATTTTTTGGGGGTTAGGCCCATTCGGGAATTGTAGGGGTTCAAAGTTGTTGTTAAAAAAAAATACGTGTCCACCCCACACTCTTTCGGTAAGCCTCGCCAGCTTTTTACATTCAAGTTTTTACCGGAAATGGCTCAAATGAAAGGTAATAAATCAGAGCAGAGTCCACTGAAATAATTTTTTGGAGCTAAGGCCCATTCGGGAATTGTAGGGGTTCAAAGTTGTTAAAAAATTCGTGTCCACCCCACACTCTTTCGGTAAGCCTCGCCAGTTTCTTACGGTAAAGTTTTTACCGGACATGGCTCAAATGAAAGGTAATAAATCAGAGCAGAGTCCACTGAAATAATTTTTTGGGGGTTAGGCCCATTCGGGAATTGTAGGGGTTCAAAGTTGTTGTTAAAACCAAAATACGTGTCCACCCCACACTCTTTCGGTAAGCCTCGCCAGCTTCTTACGGTAAAGTTCTTTACCGGACATGGCTCACATGAAAGGTCATAAATCATAGCAGAGTCGACTGAAATAATTTTTTGGGGGTTAGGCCCTTCGGGAATTGTAGGGATTCAAAGTTGTTGTTAAAAAAAAATACGTGTCCACCCCACACTCTTTCGGTAAGCCTCGCCAGCTTCTTACGGTAAAGTTCTTTACCGGACATGGCTCAAATGAAAGGTAATAAATCAGAGCAGAGTCCACTGAAATAATTTTTTGGGGGTTAGGCCCATTCGGGAATTGTAGGGGTTCAAAGTTGTTGTTAACAAAAAATACGTGTCCACCCCACACTCTTTCAGTAAGCCTTTGCCAGCTTCTTACGGTAAAGTTTTTTAACGGACATGGCTCAAATGAAAGGTCATAAATCATAGCAGAGTCCACTGAAATAATTTTTTGGGGGTTAGGCCCATTTGGGAATTGTAGGGGTTCAAAGTTGTTGTTAAAAAAAAATACGTGTCCACCCCACACTCTTTCGGTAAGCCTCGCCAGCTTTTTACGGTCAAGTTTTTTACCGGACATGGCTCAAATGAAAGGTTATAAATCAGAGAAAAGCCGACTGAAATAATTTTTTGGGGGTTAGGCCCATTCGGGAATTGTAGGGGTTCAAAGTTGTTGTTAAAAAAAAAATACGTGTCCACCCCACACTCTTTCGGTAGGCCTCGCCAGCTTCGTACGGCAAAGTTCTTATCCGGACATGGCTCAAATGAAAGGTAATAAATCAGAGCAGAGTCCAGTGAAATAATTGTTTGGGGGTTAGGCCCATTCGGGAATTGTAGGGGTTCAAAGTGTACATTTTTCCTTTAATCAGAAGTCTTTTTTACCTGTCGATACATTTATTTCAAGTAAAGGTGCATGCCGTACAAAATAGTGCACGTATAATTTCATTTGAAAGTACTTTTTTATGGGCATGAAATACATCCTTACAGCTTGCTCTTCCATATGTTTTCATGTTTTGTATAGGAAATAGACATTAAAAGTTTCTTTTCTTAAAAATACAGGATATTTGAGGATGCCGAGTGTATGGAAAGCCAGTATATAGTAAATCTATCGCACATAGTATTTTTCTTATTTCGTTTATTTGAAAGCATATATATTGTACTAAGGAGCAAGTTTAAGTCAACTCACATTAAATATATATTTCTATGCTCGGCCTACGATAGTAAAGCGCATGATATTCTCTGGTCTGTGTGTTCGTTCATTCGTTCGTTCGTTCGTTTCACCGTTCATCCGTTCGATAGTTCTTTTATCCGTCCGTCCGTCCATTCATACTGCATTAGATTAAAGTTATTAATGAATGTAGTTGAAGATGAAGTTGTAGTCAAATCAACTTGAAACGTAGTACACATGTTCATTATAATGTGATCTTTCTAAATTGAATGCCAAAATCTTTACGGTTCACTGAATATGGAAAATGATGTGCGAGCAAATCATCATGGACAGATATTCTTGTTTTTTTTAGATTCGATTTGTTTACTTTTTATTCTCACTTCTGATCCGCCGTGTGCTTTTATATAGCCATTATATGCTTATGAGATAGACGTCTTTAATATTTATTTGCAATAACTGATACAAGTTTACAATATGATAGGTTTAGAGTATGGAAAACACAGAAAACGTAAAGAAGACGTCAAAATATGGTTAATTTCCCAACTTGTCCCTTTCCCGATGGTGTAAAATCCGGGGAGGGGGTGCACTTTCATTTATATAAATACATGTATGATAATATTTAGTATGGGTTTAGATGCAGCGGACTTTTTCCGAATTGCTGGCACGTTTTTTTTTTTTTATAGAAACTATATATTTCTTTACTCCTTGATATCAATATGTCGGCATTTAGCAAGCAAGCTAGTCAGAGCATTCAGTTACAGACGTCATTGGTGTTGATGTGTTCCACTTTCACTTCAAATGCTGGACATCTCTGGTCATTTAAACGTCAAAAAACAATATATACCGTACTGGTAGATAGATTTTTTTTTAACAGACGTTTCTTCATAATGGGGTTTTGTGGTTTTCACACATACCGCATTATGATTCTTTGACAAACTGATTCTCATTGCTAACTTTAGTGGTCGATAGAATTGGTCGCTAGCTTGATTGGTCGCTGGAATTGGTCGCTAGCTTGAGTCTGGTATTAAAACATCAAAGTTGTCAAATTAAATCCTTTTACTAAGCTTGCGTATTATAAATCACCTGATTAGTTTATGATTTCCATCAACATGCCAAAGGGCGTTTGGTCCAGATACATTATAAGATCTCCTATGTATTGTCCTAGCCCACCTTATTGCTATACCTGCCTCATCAACTCGAATAAGTGATTGTGCAACTCTTGACCTTTGTATCACAACACCTTCTGACGCCAGTGTACCTTGAACTAGTCTTTGCCCACAAGATCTATTAAACTGGGTAATGCGTCGAACCCAAACGTCTAATTCAGTGTCAGAGATTTTGGTGTATCGTCTTCTTAGACTTATTCCAAAAGATCTGAAATTAGGTAAATGGCTATCACTAGTAGGCCTACTAAAAAAAAAAATTTAAAAAAATTAAAAAAAAATAATTCTGATGGTCTTTTTTTATTCTATAAATGCAGTTAACAAGCACTTTCACCCATGTATACCGTTTTTTTCCATTACAGTTCCCTTCCCTTTATATGCATGATGTACATCATGCCTTTGGACGTTCATATTGTGCAATTCTTTATATGCATGAGGTATATTTGATTTGGACGTTAAGCAAGCGGCAACCAATCACCAATGAAATACAAAATCAATTTTGGAAGGTTTTGTGAACAACTTAAATTATAAAAAAAGGAAGCAGATATAACAAAATGAAACCAAAATTTCAATAAAAAGAAAAGCTATTGATAATTAAAAATCAAAGTACTGTAGTACTGAACATCGGATGTCCGCAGGTTCTAGTGGAAGGTCACACGTACTTGTCTCGGAAAGTAAATTACAGCTCTATACCTGATAGTGAGATTAATGTACAGAGATATGTTTTTTTTCAGAGACAAGTTCGTGCGTGGATGATGAATAAATGACAGGGACTTCAACTTCACCGTTATAATCATAATATTGTAGTAATATTATATTAATATTTGTATATAACAGTTACATGTATATATAATTTTCATCCATTTGTATATCATTCTATTCTACTATTCTAATAATAGTGCAGTGCAAGTGCATGGTGGACATTCTCTGTAATAGTTCGATTTTTCTAAAAGATTGGATTTGAGCAGGCATTCATATTTTCACGCAAAACGTTCTTGGGATATTCTTCCGCATGCGTTAACACTTTTTTTTCTGTACGTGTGCATAGATATTTATGATTTTTTTTACTTATATATATATATTTTAACGACAAAACATTTTCATATTATTAATCTATGTTCTAAAAACAATATTTATATAAGTATTCATTGAAGAAATTAATTTATAACAAGCGATAAGGAATGTTATTTTGCACTCGATAATGTCCGCATATTTATAAATCGGTTTGTGTTCAATATCGTAGCAGCTACGTAGCGGCTACGTAGCTGCTATCAATATCTATATAGAAACTATAGGCTAGCTACACGTTCAATAGACAAAAATCTACGCAGCACTACGTAGCAGCTACGATATTGAACGAAAGATACGTAAGTAGAAATCTATGTGGCAACAATACATCGGAATGCCATCACGGTCATCGCGATGTAATATAAAAGGAGATATTAGGTTTATGTAAAAGACATAGCAACTCAGCGACGCGAATGGTCAAGTAGTTCTAGAGAACAAATCTTCACCAATATTTAAGAATTGAATGCTTCTTTTTGTAACTTCATTGGGGTGTAAAAGCGTTGACCGAAGTACATTTCATATGAAGCGCGAAAGCGCTTCATTCTAAAAATGTGCGCACAGTCAACGCTTTTACAACCCTATGAAATTACAAAAAGAAGCATTCAATACTTATAATTACATTTTTTAGCTAGGATCATGAAAACACGATTTTTATCAAGTTTTTATTTAATTTACCTGTGCACTTTATTGTGGGACCTCGTGTCATCATGAATGATAAATTTTATTGTGTAATGAAGTTGATTAAGGAATAACGCGAGAATGCAGTGTAGCCAATCAGAATAACGTATTATAATGAAACATACATCTAATGTAATTATACATATACCAAGATATGATTGATCATCCAGAATCTAAGAAGGTTGTCTATCACAACTCTGTATACTTATTAGTCAGTTTTGGTTGTGGGTGTATTTCGATGTATTTTTTTTAACCACAACATAAAAAAAACCAATCCTTTATAACTTTCTTCAACAGAAATGTGTTCTGGTGAACTTAACATTTTGATCATATTATGTATTATAGCTAAAATATATTGAAACATCTTTAAAGTTAAAGTCATATGAAACGAGTGACTGGTTAAAAATAATGTTTATCCAATTCTTGAACCAATGCATGTATATATCATAAACTTAGTCTTCTGTGCACGATTTTATCATTTTTTACGCAAAGATATCGTTTAATCGTCATTTTTTTTCTCTCTGTCTGTTTTTATTTAACAAATATGGCAGCTCATTAATTGCCGTGTTTTGAAGTCGAAGTTTACCGATTGTCACCTTACAGTAAACAATCAACAATTTTTTATGTGTTCTGTATTCAATGATGGTCGTAAACAGTTTTTGAGAAAAAGATATAGAAATCAACCAAATTCATTGAAATTACATAAACTGATGAATAGTAAAAATCTTTCTGATCTTAACAACTTGTGCAAATTTATAAGACTAATAAATATGCATTTAGGCTCTCCTGGGTAATTCATGTACTTGATATCATTTAGTTTAATATGTATACCATAATATATGATATGTGCCTCCCTCTTGCTTTCGTATAATTTATGTATGTCTGTACATATACATTATGTAATATTTATTTTGTGTATCTCTATACCAATGTAATTTGGGTTGTTGAGAAATAAAGATATATATAGAAGCGGGAACAAAGAAGCATAGATATTGAGCACGTGTATAACATATAGAATAGAATATTTATTATTCCAAACAAGGGCCCTTGAAGGGCAGCATAACATGTACACATAAAACAATACATCATGATTTGTAACAGAAAAACATTTTTATATATTAAAATGAAACATTAAAAAGTTCAGACAGATGTTATTTTCTTCATTCTATAAAAAATCACATACATTTAATTCCAGGCAGGATCAGAACTATAAAATCATTACAATTATCATTGTTATTACATACATTAATTAACATTTCGTCTAACATCTAGACATGTAATAATATAGCTCCCAAAATATTTAAGTATAGACAAATTTTCATTAGTAAATAACCAAACAAATTTTGCCTCATTTGAAAGATATATAAAATTGGGACAGATACAGTTTATCTCCTTGAAAAATATCTCCCTATCATTATTGTATGCTGGACAACTAGTAATAAAATGTTGTTCATCTTCAACCAGATTTAGAGTACATTTCTTACAAAGCCTTTGGTCTCTTTCTATATATAAAGTTTTATACCTGTCTCTTTCTATTTTGAGATCATGTGCACTGATTCTGATTTTACATATGGCACTTCTCAATTGAAAATTGTTTAAAGATAGATACATTTCTTTCGAAAAACAAGTTTTAAGTTTGAAATAAGTATCTAATTTACTACTCTTTGTATCTCTTCTTTTTGTGTTCCAAAATTTTACAAAACTATTACAAAGTTTTTGCTTAACTGACTTGATAAAAAAGTTGAGCTTTACCTCCAAATTATGAATATTCAGCTTTTTTAAAATGTAATGTATGGATGAATACCAGCATTCAATATTATTATTAAACATGTTTTTGTTACACATATAGGTATCATACAGTAAACCATCTTTCATATTTTTTATTCTAAACCAATATTTCAGCATTGATAATACAACTGAAAAATATAAAGGGAATCTACCAAGCTCTCCTAGCACAGCTAGGTTAGAAGACTTTTTGTTTACACCTAATATATACTTCATATATCTTAAATTGGATTTATCTAAAAAAATCATTCATATGAATGTGCTGTAATAAATATTCACTTTCTTTCTGGCATGCTGCAGAGCTAGTTTTAAACATACCTGTAATTTCACTGCCATACATTAAAATGGGTTTTATTGTATGGTCATATATATGTAATAGAGTAGAAATACTGGGATTGGAAGATGATAAAGATCTTTGCAATTTGAATACAGCTTTTAGTGATTTTTTGTATAATTCTTCCTTTCCTTGCTTAAAAAGTCCACTAGATATAAATTTTAAACCTAAATACTTATAATTGTTAACACATTCTATTGTATCTTTTTCGAAATAAAAATATTCTTTTAAAAGTTTACCAGGTTTGTTAAATATAATAACTTTGGTTTTAGATAGATTGACCTCTAAACACCATTTAGTACAAAATTTGGATAAACCATCAAGTCGTTTTTGAAGACCTGCCTTGGAACTAGAAAAAATAACAATATCATCTGCATACATGAGGCAGTCAATCCTGCGACCGTTTATATCAACAGAGTCTGGGCTTTCCTTAGATACATCCGGTAAATCATTTATAAAAATCTTGAAAAGGTTTGGACTTAAAACATCCCCTTGCTTTACTCCAATTTGAGAATAAAAATTAGGAGTAAGCACATCATCTATTTTAACACATAATTCACTTTTATTGTACATATCTCTCAGGATTGCATAAAAGTTACCACCTATATTATGTTTTAATAGCTTATATTTTAAACCAGAATGAATGACTTTGTCAAACGCTGATCATATAAAATCAGATAATAGTATACACCTATTGACAGGGTATGAGGGTAATAGCAAGTTTTTTGTCCCTGATATACCAACTATTGCTCGAGGCGAAGCCGAGGGCAATAGTTAGTTTCAAAGGGACAACAAACTTGCTATTACCCTCATAACCAGTCATTAAGTGTTTTATTATACCGAACAAAACAACTTTCTAAAAAGACTACATACACCACTTGAAAAAAAAATGATCACATAGACATGTACAAGATGAACTATCAGGTTTTTTTTCCCTGTGTGGTATTTGTCAATAATCTATTTACTGTAATCAAGACCAGGAATCCTTGTGTAAAAATTGCCGTGCATATGATCAACATTAGCTAAAATATTTTACCGTACACCAAAGCAATCCCAGATTATGAAGACGACGACAGACCAATACCATACATTACATGTTTTAGTTCTTAAAATATGTCGCGTAGATTTTCTTTTTCAATTGCTTCTGGTAAGTAATATATTAATTTGAAATTACGACAGATACATACAGATTATAACGTTTACGATATTTCAGAGTTTAACGTTGCCAAGCGCACAAATCCAAGCAGAATAGTCGATGACGTCATTGTTGTCCAATGAAAAATTAGTATGAAAAAGTACGGGAAATATGTTTATAAAACTATTGACCGGGGTAATAGTCTTTGAAACTATTGACTGGCAAATAGTCTGTGGAATGAAATAGCACAAATATTTCATTCTTTTTTATATAGAAAAAACATACTGAGGTATAATAATTTATCTTAATGACAGATCCACGCGTATTGCGATCACCGGATTTTTACGAGAAGGGTCACGCTAAGGTCACTTGCATATACGGAAAATATGTCGGCGAATTGCTGGAAGCAAGCAATTAAAATAAAGTAAACTTCTTCTAAATGTGGACCAATTAAAGAATTTTCTTCAGAAAAAAGTATATGTACATAAGTTTTATAATGAAAACTATCCATTTAGTTATAAAAATCATATGCATCATGTTTTTTAATCTGAGGTTTCATATGACTTTAAACATTTGGTCACTTTATTATTATTCTAACCTAACGAGGAGGCCTAATAAACTTTCATAATCAGTGAAAGGAACAAATCAATAAGAAGAATCGATCAAAACTATATATACGGAATACAAACCTCAACCGTCGTTGAATGCTTGACACTGATAAGTGTAGCAGTCTAGCCATGTGTTTTGCAGTAAATCCCATCTCCATAAAAAATAATAAGTGATTCCTAGATATGTAATACCTTGGGCGTCCAGCCGTTTCAATCATGCGCAGTGTTATTCCACTATTTACTGTAAGGGAGCTGGTGATTAAAAATATAAGAGTAAGGTAGCACTCCACAGTTATAAAATTAAAATTGAACCAAAAAATGTTTAATCATCTTCTATTCCTGGCTTTCTAATAGATTAAGCCAACTGTTTGTGTCATACATTTGTATATGTTTGTAATCAGTATCTGCCATAGATTTGATTTTCAAAGTCAAAAGTTATAATGGTAAAATGTAATTGCTTTTTTGTTTATCCATGGCAACATTCTGCGTTGATTTATCATAAGATATTGCAAAAAGGGGGATGAAAATGTCACATATTCACATAAAATTTGGTTCTAACTAGAATTTCAATGCCTTTGAATGAACACTTTTCTGAAGACATATAATACTATTATATGTCTCTGGTAAAATGCATACATATATATTGTACTTATTTTCATTTCAAAATAATGTCATCCCAAACAAAAAAATCTTACCTCTGTCTTTCTTCAACATAATTGATTAAGCGTTGAAGTAAAGGGATAAGACTATCACACTGGGGGTAGGACCGGGTCATCCTCCCAATATTACGCCACAAAGCATTCAGTCTTATTACCGAAGTTTCAACCAAATCAGCGAACATGTCGTCATTGTTTAGGGCACGTACAACATCATTTATAACAGTTCTGCAAACATCGATAAATCCTCTAAAATTGACGTCGTAAGCCATGTTTCAAAAAGAAACAAAATCCCCATTTATATAAATGATGGAAAAATCTCCATAAAAACGATCGGTTACACCAAACAAAGAGACAAAAGCACACAGTCAGCTTGTGTTATTTTCTTTAAAAAAAATAATTAGAGAGAAGAAATCACCCAGATTAGATTGAATCTCATTTTACAGCAGTGGATAGACACACAGCTTGAATTGCTTCTAATTACGTAGATCATTATTTGAAGATATGTAGGCTCATGGAAGCATTATATTGACAGGAACAACAACAAGGCTACTTAAAATTTTACTATCTTCTGATAATTCGTTAATAGAAATTAAAACAGAGGCAATAACGGGTTGGTCAAGACCGGCTTGATCATTGTTAACAATTAATGACATTATATTCTAGTTTTATAAAAGCTTTAGTCCGACTTGGGTATTTTATTATGTTTATATTTTTGGATTGTTCTCCAAAATTTGTATTAGATGTCGGTTTTTTGAATGATTTTTGTTGTTACAAATTGTAATGTCAACTTATATATCCCATTGATATAATGGCTATTACACCAATGTCTATACTTCTTAGTATTTCCCTGAGTGTTTATTTATCAATCTTAATTATGACTGACAACTGGACATTGATTTTCTGATATGATGATCTATATGTATGTTGTATCAATTATATATGTTATGTGTATATGCCCCCCTGGTGACCTAATTTGGAAAATAAAACTTATCTTATATAACATTATTTTCACCCTCTGCTGCTAACCACAAACTATTTCGACAAACGGTAACGGAGGTATCATGATATGTAACAGTATTTATACTAAGATTCAAAGTAAATGAAGCACTACAGTCCTTTTTTTGCATACTCCAAACAACAGTCTTCAAAGATGAATTTCTCAAAAACAAATGAATTTTCAAAAAATTTAACTCATTTTAAATTATTAAAAAGCTATTTCTTATTCTATTATAAAGCATTTAGTACGATCAATGAAAAGTAAATCTTAACAACTGCCAAAAATAGTGCTATTCAAACTTGGATGAAAATAGTACATTCAGGTCATATTATAGAATACAATTGTATCTGTGCCTTTGATTTTTATTTTTGTTTTGAAATCCCGTTATTTGTGTTCCACATATTAATCGATTGTTGCATCAGATTATCAGTAAATCAACACTACTTTTACTGTTGATCTTGTTTAAGAATGTGTTAGATACGGAGGCCACACATGGACAAAAATAAAAATAAAATTAATCCGTGATCACGAATTCCCAACAATAACTTATTACATATAACAGTAATAATTCGGAAGAGGATGCTGAATCCACATTTGCACTAATACACCTATAAGGAAATTTACATTGTTCAAGTGATTTTTATTAAATATTATGAATTAAAGGAAAGAGTATTTGAATTACATCAACAATTTCATTCTATTACATAGAAAATGTATACTAGATTTCACGTCGGTCTTATCAGAAAAATATATAGATAGCGATTAACCGACATAAATAGCGATTAACCGTTAAAAATAGCGGTTAACCGATAAATATAGCGGTTAAACGCTAAAAATAGCGGTTAACCGGTATATAAAATAGCGGTTAACCGATAAATATAGCGGTTAATCGATAAAAATACCGGTTAACCGGTATATGAAATAGCGGTTAAGCGATAACAAAATAGCGGTTAATCGATAAAAATACCTTTTGAACCAAATGGTACACCATTTAGACGGTCCGAGTTGTCTTATAGACGGTTCGTCATTTGTATACTCAAAATGGGCGTCAAAACTTTATTAGAGACTTCTCTTCAGACACAGTCTTTTTCATTAAATCATTTATTTCGCCAAAAGTGTAATTTTATACTCAGTCTGAGTTGACATTATAGACGGTCCGAGTTGACTTTATAGACGGTCCGAGCGACTTATTAGAGATTTCCAATCAAATGTCATTACTCGACATAACCAACCTATCTAACCGTATCTCGGCCTATTGTCACAGTGGAAAAATGGACAAAATTGATTTTGAGACTTTTGGGACATTTTGTAAAAGTTTTTGTAAAATCACTGTTTTTGTTATATTTGTAATATTTCACTAAGGGATTTTGTTATTTTTATTGTGAAAGGTTTGAGTCAAGTTTAGAAGATTAAGCTAATCTAATTTCATGTTTTAATTTGTTTTTCAGTTAGCGACATTTTTCTTCAATTGATCTATTATTCGTATATGACAAGACAAGACTTTAATTCCATAGATAAGTCTGTATGTTCTATTGTTAATTATTAGCTATATGCTATTTTTTGTCTTTAATCCGTTAATTGAATTTGTCACTCATTTAGAGAAATATTTGTCAAGTCTATTCAAGTAATTTTTGGTTTGTTATATAAACTATGTTATTATTTTGATGTAGCATATTGGATTTAGTATTACACTGAGCAGTTCCGACTCTGTACAATTGTATTCCATGCTGAACTTATTAAATTATACATCGCGCTAACCAGAGTCGTCTTTTGTTACAAGAGCTAGTCCCAGAGTCAGAGGCGGTACAGACTAGTCGTATTATTTATTGTGTGTGTGTGGTTCTAGGCCAACAAATTACCCAGTCACAAGATATACCCAGTTTCTATTTGTGACACAATTGCATTGAAGGATGGCGGAGGGGAGAATAGACTGTTTGAATTTTTGGCTCGTTGAATACACATACTTTGTTGGAATAGATGCTATTTAAAAATTAACACAAACTGCTATTTTAATTCTTTACATATTTTGTTATTAAATTTGGGATGATTTCATTGACAGCAACCTTTCAAGGGAATAATTAATTCATTTACCGGTAATCAAATGCACCGATCATTACTTCGTCATTTCACTTGAACCATATATTTATCTCTCAAACGATGAATTCTTAAAGCTACTAATTCAAAATCAAGTTTAAAAAAAATAAAGATAATAGAATCTGAAGTGAGATCATATTCTCATTTTTGATTTAAAAGTTATAAGATTAAAACAAGAGTTTCAAACACGCCGGAATGTAAAAGGTAACGACTTGCTTCTTCTTCTTTGTTTTTCTAGCATACTTCTATAATTTATATTAAGATACTTTTGTCAAAGGTAAAATTCAGATCACTGATGCAACTTTCTGGTAGTATTTTGTCATCTTTCCGTAGAATTTTATCAAATGGAATTTGTGAGGACGCATCTTCAAGAAAAAATATGATTACACTTTACTCAATCAGTTAATGTTTTTATTTCTTGTTTTTAATAATAATGATGCATGGATTCTAGGATGAGCCCGTACAAACGTATGCGTAATTTAACGTCATTGCTCTTAATTTAACTTGTTCAAATGCGTATGAAAAACGGACATGTATGAAATATTTGATTGAAGTTTTGTTAAGTAGGATGATCATTTTAGTTTTATGACCAACTTAGGATACTAATTAAAGGGATATTATATTTACTGGTTATTTCATCCGTCCGTTCTTCCGTTCTGTTCAAAATATAAAACGTTTAAAATTATATACCAAATTAGAGTTTGACCCGGATTAAGTGGTGCACTGAACATGAAAATATGAGCATGTGAAGGGGCACGGTGTCTTAAGGCCACACATTCTTGCAAATGTTCTGATTTATACATGTACATAAAATTGAGAATGGAAATGAGGAATGTGTCAAAGAGACAACAACCGGACCAAAGAGCAGAAAAACAGCCCAAGGCCACCAATGTGTCTAGATCTTCAACACAGCGAAAAAATCCCACACCCGGAGGCGGGCTTCAGCTGGCCCCTAAACAAAAATGTGTACTAGTTCAGTGAAAATGGACATGTATATGTATCTTCCATATTCATAACTGTCTCTTTGGTCTTGTGGTTGCGCGTACGCCCCGACAGTAATCCATCAAGGGTGATCGGGGAATAGAAATATAGTCATTATTGGTCTTGTTCTGATCGGCAGTTAAACCATTGCCAAAGTGGGGTGTCGTTTGGCTGTGCGGGATGTACAAGTAAGCAATCCCGTCTGGTCAGAATGGGGACGTTAAATCCGATTTAATCTTGTAGAGAGAATGCCACGCTCTCTGAATCTTAATTATGCATGAAAGATTTGCCACTGCATGGACGTTAAGCAACCAACTATCAATTAATCGACAGTAGCGTAACTTGAATTTTATTATTGGTGAGTCAAATGATTTAAATCTTGGCAGTCAAAGCCTCACCTTAGTTAAAAGACGTCAATGCCAATAGGAAGTGGACGGTTAATTAAAAATATGAATCGCAAAATAGGTGTAGGTGATCATACTCTTGATAGGTCACGCACTGGCAAAAGGAGCCTGTCTATGAAAAATTCAGATTTGTGGAATTTTATTATGAAATAATATTTCTAGTGCGCATTAAATCAATATATTTCAATAAAACTGCTGTTTAAAGGTTTAATTCTCAGTATTCAGTTACAGACAGGTCCTGATCAAAACAAAAATAATTGACAGAATTATTTGTATGACCTCTAAAATGCTTTTGTACAGCTTTGGGGATATCAGGATTTAGATCCATTATATCTTTTAACTTTATACGTTTAGCTTTTGTCAAAATGTATGGATGATAATAAATGGGTGAACTATGAAGTCTTGCTTGAATGCCAAGTGTCTGTTGAAAACTATGTCCACCAAAAGTAACAAGTTCGTCGTCAAAACAAAAAAAAACAAGCATCATATCAGTTTGAGAGTTATGACCTCTTGTTTGAATCAGTTTTTTTGCGAGGTATACTTTGTCTTTCACTTAAAAAAGATATTTGCATCTACCTTGCTCATTTTATGAAAGAAAGTTTTCAAGACGTTAATAATGAGGAATGAGTGAGTAAAGAGTAAAGCAGTCGTCACTCAGGATACTTTAAACTATGAAATACACGGAATATAATTCTCTTTATCTCTATTTTTTAAGGGTAAAAAATTTGGCGAGGCGGTAGCCTCATTGCGTCAATGAAAGCTACACCACTGCTCGAGTGCGGGAAGTCTTGGGATGGATCCTCGCTCGTTTGAAATCGAAGGTTGGCTGCCTCTCTGCCAATCACGTAATATTTAGGAGCTAGAGCAAAGATTGGTCGGTCCGGAGTCAACATCATGTGTCTGGGTAGGATGACATGTCTTCCTGCGGTATAATACAAAGACCATATTCATCTTCTCGTCCTAAATATGCATATGTAAAATACATATGCAACGAACACTTATATATATGGCCCTACATCCTATTAATACTTATAATTTATGTTCCACTTCTAACGTTGCCTATACCCCCCCCCCCCTCCCCCCCCCCCCCTTTTCCAAAATCCTGGATCTGCATCTGGCAACGAAATCTTATTATATTTTGTTGTTCAATGTTACTTACCTT